ATGGGCCTTGCTGAAGGACCTGCAGATGTGGCAAGGCCAGGCTCGAACTGGCGACTTTCCAATTACAGGCACAGGGGCTAAGGCTACACCCCACCCCCAAAAAAAGCACTTAACCTGTATGATCGGAGTTGTGACACTTGTATGGCAGAAGGAGCGAAGCTGGTCTGAAGGTGTCAGTTGGCTCCAATTTTAGGTGTTAATGTTAATGTGGTGTTTCCATTATCTCCAATATGAATATATCCATGTATTTCAAACCCTTTGAAGTGAAAGTAACCTGATAAGAATTGTAATTTTCTTTGCCAGTTAAATTATTCATTATAAAATGTAGCTGTCATGACACTTGTGTCAATGTGACAAGATTAAAGAGCATATGAAGTATATAACAGGATACGTTAAATGGATTGTTCAGTGTGATTGTTTTATAATGAAGCCAAAATAAACCTAAAGTCAGCTGAATCCAGTAAGATTAACATTTTTTTAATGTATTTTTGGAAAAAAAAATAAAGTATTAGAAAGCAGTGAGAAGGCAAGATCATAGGTTGGCAAGCACCATTTAAAAAAACATCTTTGATAAGCCATACTTCACCATGTGATGAATCATTCATGTATTCTTGATTGCCGTTGCTAGGTTACACACACCATGGCCTATTACTGCCATCCACTGGGTAAACATGTTAACTTCACCCTTTATTGATATGTCATTACTCAAAGTGACAGTGACTCTTTAAATATGTTTAAGAAAGTCTGATCATTTTCATGCAGTGGCCCCACAAGTGGTTTGAAGAAAATATTCAGCTTCAGTTTCAGCAAGGAGCCCCACGCCGGGCATGTTCTGGCTCCTGGGCGTTTGATTCAGACCCCACAGCCTGCAGTGTACTGCCTCAGGTCGCGCCTCTGGCAGCGATTCCGCCAGGCCACCCTGATGGCCGATATGACACAAATTAGCAAAGGGATGATGGAACATAACGCAGAGGTTTGTCAGAACAGCAATGATAATGCAAATTCTATGTTAGTGTAACAGAAGAGGCTCACTGTGTTACGTATGTGACAATAAAACTTGAATATATAATGTGTGGGACTCCATACCCGCATAATTCAGAAAGACAATAAAAACTGAATATTGTTCCACCGGTTGTGCTAATCAGACTCTAACTCTTACCAGGCTGCCATCCCTTTGGGGTCGCTGACCACACGCTTGGCACATGTGATGGCGACGTCAATGTTGTCAGTCAGCAGTTCTGCAGGAGAATGACCAGGGGACATGTTGTCAGTCAGGTCATTGAAGGTGTAATATACACATGCATTTTTAATTATTCAGCAGACAGTCCAAAGCAACATATATTTGAGAAAGCACCCAGGCCCTAGAGTAACTGGGAATAAGGGCCTTGCACAAGAGTGGTGAAATCACTCTACTATCCTCATGATTTGAACCAGCGACCTTCCAAAATCAGCATCCTACTCACTGAACCACACTCTGGCCCATGCACTCTAGTCAAAAAATCTCATGTCATTCACACCTGAGTTACCCGCATATACGGGTTAGATTTTCTCACTCTTAGAAGTAACAAGAGTCACATGTAGAGGAATTTTAAAAGTGTACTAAAAAGAGAGCCTTTAAATTATTTGACAACACAAGCCTTTCAGGGAGCCCAGTGTGTCAAGTGCCCCATTTCTCATGCCTTTGATATTAAGTTTCAATGATCTTGAGTCTTGATCTCAAGACAGAATGGGGTACAATAGACTTCAGGGTCCCCTGTGACTGTGTATTGGGTAAGTAGCTGGAAAATGAATGAATGAATGAATGAATGAATGAATGACATACCACCCGTCTAATCCTACTGCA